TAAACCTTTCATTAATAAATCCATATTTTTATAGATTACTAGATTTTAAGTCATTTAGATAAATGAATCTCAAATACATGAAAGCTGCATTGGACCAACTAAATGAAATTTGATAGGTAAAATTTTCAAGTTGGTATTACTCTAGTCTAGAAAACTTCATTTAAATACAGAAATTATAAGTAATGAAAATAATAAACGCATAAAGCACACATACTAAGTGTATTAATTCTGAGTATTTTTTTCACTAGCATATTTTATTCAATAAAGTGCTCATCATACAAATAATGAAAAAGTAAAATCAAAGATCATAAAGATCTGTTTTTGTTTCCAGTTGTTACAGTAGCAAAATGGCAGCTGTTCAAATGGAAGCTGATACTAGATCAACCAGAGAATTCATCCTCTTTGCCAAATACCTAAAGAAAAACTATAGTACCCTTAAAAAGCTTTCTTGGAACAATGTACACAACTACTTGTGTGTATTTGCCATCATAGAAGTGGTCTACATAGTTACTTGGGAAAACAAGCACATCTATCAAAACAACCTATCATATATTTTCTTTACAAATAGTATCACCTGCCAAACTGACATTTTAGACTTACTTTTACTCTTCTTTTTTGTATGGAATTTTGATTCTAAGTTCTGTTTTCTAGAAATGAAAACTCAAAATTTGGGAATTGGTACTCTAAACCCCAATGTAAAAATAAGTATAGCTCTAGAAGTTGAGATAATGAATGGGACCTTGCTTATATTTCAGACGAAGGAGTCTTTCATCAGCTGGCAAAAGGACTATATGCAATATTTGTATATACATATATGCAATATACACACAAATTCTTTAAATAGAATTTCTGATCCTCTCATGTTTTGATATAAACTAAACTTATCGTATTTTGTCTTAAGATCAGTTTTCTCAGAAAAAGAGAATAAAGAAAATTCATAGGGCCACTCCTGGTGGTGCAGCGGTTGAGTGCTGGGCTGCGGACCTGCCCGCAGCCTCTGCAGTGCCGGTTCGATCCCTGGCCGCCATCGGGGAGGGTCCCACATGGCTTGCAGACCTCTCCTGCTGCCCACTGCTCCCCTCAGCAGTCTATTTCGTCGGTCTGCCAGTTCTGTTTCCCGCTCTGGCTGTGGTGAATTCTCTCACCCCCCCCCACTTCTGACTGTACCCAGTGCTTATATAAATAAATAAAATAAATCTTAAAAAAAAAAGAAAATTCATATAAAATTCCTACAAATTTATTCTTTATTTACATATAAGTATTGCAATATTCCAAAGAGAGGAATGAATTCATATGTGCTTATAATACATACTTTTCAAAAAAGCCTTATTTATTTATGCATACAGAGCTGAGGTACAGGCCAGAGGTGCAGGGGGTGAGAGGATTCACCAGAGACAGAGTGGGGAATAGAACAGGCAGACTGACCAAAGTACACTGCTGAGGGGAGTAGCGGGCGAGCCAGGAGAGGTTTGCTGTGCTATGTGGGTTGCTCCCTGGCCAGCTGGGGGATCGAACTCATGCTATAGAGGCTGTGGACAGCTTCATGGGTTGCATCTTAACTGCTTGCACCACCAGGGAGGCCCCATAATACATACTTTTTAACAGACATCAAAATCTCTCTTAAGACAATAAAATGCAACCAAATTACTCTCAGGAATGGAGTAATTTGAACTAGCAAACTATGTGGTTTAAATGAGTTGCAAAAAAAAGTCTCAATAATAAAGGAGATTTTTTTTATTTCTTCTTCAGTTTTATAGTTTGTGTATAGGAAGGTTACTGATTTTTGTGTGTTGATTTTGTATCCTGCTACTTTACTAAACTGATTGATTAGTTTGACTAGTTTTTCTGCGGAGTTTTTTGGTGTTCTCTATGTATATTATCATATCATCTGAGAATAGTTATGGTTTAACTTCTTACTTCCCTATTTGGATACCTTGTATGTCTTTCTCTTATCTTGTTGCTCTGGCTAGGACTTCCAGTATTATATTGAAAAGCAGTGGTGAGAGTGGACTTTCTTGTCTTGTTCCAAATCTTAATGGAAATGCTTTTAGCTTTTCTCCATTGAGAATGATATTGGCTATGGACTTGTCATATATGGCCTTTATGATGTTGAGGTATGTTCCTTGTATCCCGGGAACTTCAAGGGCCTTTATCATAAATGGGTGGCGTACTTTGTTGAAAGCTTTCTCAGCATCTATTGATATTATCATATGGTTTTTATATTTCTTTTTGCTGATGTGTTGGATTACATTGATTGATTTCCAGATGTTGAACCATCCTTGTGTCCCTGAAATAAATCCTACTTGGTCATGGTGAATTATCTTATGGATACATTGCTGGAATCTGTTAGCTAAAATTTTATTGAGGATTTTTGCATCAGTGTTCATTAGAGAGATTGTGGCCTGTAGTTTTCTTTTTTTGCGTGGTCCTTGTTTAGTTTTGGTATTAGTGTAATGTTGGCTTCATAGAAAGTGTTTGGTATTATCCTTTCCTTCTCAATTTTTGTAAGAGTTTATGAAGGACAGGCACTAGTTCATTTCTAAATGTTTGGTGGAATTCATTTGTAAATCCATCTGGTCCTGGGAATAAACCTAACAAAAGAGGTAAAGGACCTATACAAAGAAAACTATTAATCACTGTTAAAATAGAAGAAGACACAAAGAAATGGAAAGACATCCCCTGCTCATGGATTGGAAGAATTAACATTATCAAAATGGCCAACTTACCAAAAGCAATTTACAGATTCAATGCTATTCCAATAAAAATTTCAATGACATTCTTTAAAGAAATAGAACTAATATTGATGAAATTCATATGGAGCCACCCAAAACCCCAAATAGCCAAAGCTCTTCTTAAAAAAAAAAAAAAAAAAGAAGGGAATGGAGATATCTACTCCCAGACTTCAAGCTATACTACAAAGCCATAATAACCAAAACTGCATGGTATTGGAAAAAGAACAGACACATGGATCAATGGAACTAAACAGAAAATACAGAAATAAACCCACAGATTTATGGTCAACCAATCTTTGACAAAGGAGCAAAGAATATGCAATGGAGCAAAGAAATTTTGTTCAATAAATGGTCCTGGGAAAACTGGGTTGCTACATGCAAAAGAATGAAGTCTGACTATTACCTCACACCATGCATAAAAACCAACTCAAAATGGGTTAAGGAACTAGACATAAGACCTGAAAACATAAAACATATGGAAGGAAATATAAGCAAAACACTATATGACATACACCTCAGTAACATCTTTAAAGACATATCACCCAAAGCAGTGATAGTGAAGGCAAAGAGAAACAGCTGGAACTACATCAAATTAAAGAGCTTCTGTACAGTGAAAGAGACAATAACCAAAACAAAGAGAAACCACACCGACTGAGAGAAAATTTTTAGACACAACACTAATAATAAAGCACTGATCACAAAAATCTACAAAGAGCTGATGAGACTCAACAAAAACAAAGAAAATAATCCAGTCAAAAAATGGGCAGAAGAGCTAAAAAGAAACTTCTCCAAAGAGGAAACTCAAATGGCCAACAAAGATATGAAAAAATGTTCAACATCACTTGTAATCAGGGAAATGCAAATCAAAACTACAAGGAGATACCACCTTACACCAGTTAGAATGGCACATATTAAAAAAACTAGCAACAAATGTTGGCAAGGATGTGGACAAAAAGGAACTTTCCTGCACTGATGGTGGGAGTGCAAACTGGTCCAACCACTATGGAAAGCTGTGTGGAGATTTTCAACATGCGAAAAATGGAGCTTCTATATGATCCAGCAATTCCACTCTTAGGTATTTACCCAAAGGACACAGAAACATACATTCAAAAGAGCACCTGCACCCCTGTGTTTATAGCAGCACTATTTACAATAGCTAAGCTATGGAAACAACCTAAATGCCCAAAAATAGATGACTGGATCAAGAAGATGTGGTACACATACACAATGTAATATTACTCAGCAATCAAAAAAAAAATAAACTCATGCAATTTGCAGCAACATGGATGGAGCTGGAAGAGATCATGCTCAGGAAATAAGCCAAAAAGAAATAGAAAAATACCAGATGGTCTCACTCATAGCAGGAATTTAGAAAACCTAAATAAGGGGCCAGGAAAAAGACTAACTCTAATAAAGTAAAAATCAAAATCAACAATCAACTATAAACCAGAGACACACTACAGGGGAGGGAAGAGGGAGTAGGATAAAAACAAGGGGAGTGGGAATTGTATGGGGACTATAACCAAGATGAAAATGCATTCATTGTGCAAAAATGAAAAATGATGTAAAAATATATATATAATAAAAAAGTCTCAACAAATGTCTTTTCTATAAATATAAAATCCAAGCTAATATCTAACTAAAATTTCACATAATCAGTAGAATGGATCACAAATATAATTAAAATTTGCATTAGTTCATACATGTAAAAAATTATTTCTGGCTGATATTTTCAAAATATTTTACAAAACCATATCTTGAATAACTTTTAAAATTATTTTTGGGCCTCCCTGGAGGCGCAGCGGTTGAGCTCTGGGTTGCGAGGCTGCCCACAGCCTCTGCAGCGCCAGTTCCATCCCCAGTCACCAGGCGAGTGTCCCACATGGCACGCAGACCTCGGCTGCTGCTCCCACTGCTCCCCTCAGCAGTGTATTTCGTCAATCTGCCTGTTCTGCTTTCAGCTCAGGCTCTGGTGAATTATCTCACCCTCCCGTGCTTCTGACTGTACCCAGTGCTTGTATAAATAAATAAATAAATCTTTAAAAAAATTTAAAATCATTTTTATATTAACTTTTCCCAAGCTATAAATATACACAGAACACTTTTCATTAATTCCATTTTCTGCCACTATAGTAAAGAACGTACATGGGGTGCAACAATGTTTCTTTACCTCCAGTTTATTTCTTGAAGTAGTGGGTTTCCAGTGAGAGATAATTCACGGAGAGAATAACATGCATCAAACCATCTCATAACACTTGTAAGATCTACAGAAAATAATCAATAAAAAGCATTATAAAAAGCAGCACAAATAAAGAAAAATTACAAATCAATGTCCAATTTACTGATTAGCTATTAAAAGCAACAAAAATATTTAGACTGCAGAATGTCCATGCTTTTTAAAGGAGACTTTTAAGAACATTGACCCTGCTCCGTGAACTTAAGCACCTCACCCAACTGCTTTTCAATTCAGGTTGTTCTCCCTCTCATAGGGTGAGGATTAAATGAGATAACATATGTAAAGGATTTAAAATGGTTTGTGCCAGATTATAAGCACAAATCTCAAGAATTAAAATCTAAAGTAATAGGAAAAGTTGTAAAATTGAACATACAGCTACAGAATTACATGGACCTAGTATACTCGGAAAAAACAGTAGGTCAATCTAACATACATTACCAAGTAACTCATACTGGCACTCTCTCCTAGAGAAAATAATAAAACTGGACTATATATAAAGCACCTGTTTTTAAGCTTGACAAAGGAGGAAAACATAGAAGTTTAGCAGATAATCAGAGTGGTTTTCTGCCTGAAGGTATTTACTACTTCAGTGCAGTAAATTGGAGACCATGCAAAGAGGTTGTTTTGTTGAGCTGAGTAGGCAAAAATTAGAACTGATGTTGGGATTTGTGGTGAAAAGTACTAAGAAGATTCTATATGGGTGTGTATATTGGGCAAAAAGGGGGTTAGGGGAAGAAGTGTATGTGAGGACTCATACACTTCCTGGACAAGTGTTAGTTATTTCATAGGCAGAACAAGTCTGCAAAATCTAGCAAAGATCACCAGCTATATCTAAGAACTGAATAATAACACTAAGGTTCATGCAGCAGTTAAAAAAAAAATGGAGTTTCAGTCCACTAGAATGAGACCTAATTGAGTATTTCAGATTCAAATAAATCCAGAAAGACTATGCATTAAAGTGGAAGGCAATACTCTGGAATAAGAGCATGCACTAAAAGGTGAAAACTAAAATAACTTTTACTAAGGAAGAGTGAAATTAGGTTGTTGACTGAAACAAAATCATATTTTGATACTTTGCCTTTCTAACTTAAACCCTTTGAAGGAAGAAAACATTCTGACTCACTAAACTGTGCCATGTACAATGTTTAATCTACAGTTAAAATTATAAGATATGCAAAGAAATAGGAAAATGTGGCTTATCATTTAGAGAAAAGCAGTTAATAGAAACAAAGTAAATCAAATGTAAATCAACTTTTGACAAAACACCAAAATAATTCAATGATGAAAACACTCACTCAACCAGTGTTGCTATAGCAATTGGATATTCACATTAATAAATGAATTCAACTTCTACATCATATCATTCATAAAAATTAATTTGGGATAGACCATAGTCCTACACATAGAAACTAAAAGTACAAGTCTTCTAAAAGAAAACACAGGAAATAATCTTATCCAAATCTATAGGTGGAAAACTATATATTGCAAAGGACAAAGAGAGCAATAAATGTTAAAAAATAACAAATTAAACTTCATCAAAAAACTGAAACTTCTGTTTATCTAGATTTATCACTAACAAAATTAACAGGTAAAAAGGAAGTAGGAAAAAATATTTACAAGCATATATATGACCAAAACTCTCATAGAATATATGAAGATTTAATACAAATCAATAATAAAAGGCAAACAACTAAATTTTAAAAATAGTGAGACACTTGGACACAACAAAAAATATACAGAAATCACCAATACATGCAAGTAAGAATGTTCAATATCATTAATCATCAGGGAAATGCAAATTAAAACCATAATGAGACAACTCAATGAAATACTAAATACCCTCTAGAATGGAGTAATCAGAACTCTTTTATATTGAGGCCAAATGTTAACTACTTTGAAAAATGTTTTTTTTTAGTTTCTTATAAAGTCAAATATACACCTTCTACTACATCCAGCAATTATAACTCTTACTCATTTACCCAAAAGAACTAAAAAAAAAAAATCACAAAAAAAGATTTGTATAAAAATTTCCATGGGAATTTTATAGTCATAGTAGTCCTAGATAGTCAACAATTCAAATAGCAATCACCAGAAGAATGGGTAAATAAGTTATGAGATCTTCAAATCAATACAATGGACTGTCACAAGAATGTTGGGTAAAGAAAGCTAAAGATGGAAGAGAACATACCATGTGATCTTATTAATATCTTTATGATGTAGAACAGGTAAAATTAACTTTTGTGACAAATTTAGAACTGTGGTTATCTTTACGAGGGGACAAACTAGTTATGGGAAAATTTGGGGGATGATTAGTCAGCAAATCAATTTAACATTCTTTAGTAAACTTTTATAGGGTTTAGTAAACATTTAGAAAACTTTTATAGGGTTAACTTGTCAAACAAGTTAGACAAGTTTGGTTATTCATCTTCACTAGGTTATTTATTTCATAAGTAAAAGATATATATATATAATTTTTATTTTCTTAAAAAGATTTATTTATTTATGCATACAAGAACTGGGTACAAGCCAGAGGTGTGGGAGGATGAGAGGACCCACCAGAGACAGTGTGGGGAGCAGAACAGGCAGACTGACTGAAGTGCACTGCTGAGGGGAGCAGTGGGTGAGTCAGAGAAGTCTGCTGCACCATGTGGGTTGCTCCCTGGCCGGCCAGGGATAGAACTCTTGCTGCAGAGGTTGCAGATTGCTTCATAGCGCCACTAGGGAGGCCCCCAAAATATATAATTTTTAAATAAAAATATAAGTGTGACATTTGTCCAGGTCTACCAAAAAGATATGGAAACATTATGTCTGAAAACAAAATTTTAATTGAATGTTTCAGTATGTTTTTGAAGGAGTTCAGAACATGACAAAAAACTGCTATGGCATATTGACTATTTTGAGTTAAATCACTTAAAAAGCAGCAGATATAGGAAGGAAACTTGGATCTTCTTATTTCATAAAAGTAGGAGATGAAATTCCCATGTGAAAGATGTTCTCCCCACACAAGAAGGAAAAAGCCACTCATCACTAAAGACAGGAAGTCAAGGTTTAGAGAAAATTATGCCAACAAACTTCTCACACTAACCCTTCTCTTCCTAGCCACTTTTCCAGTATTAACTACTTAAGCCTCTGTACCTACACTGTACCCTCCCTATACCTTGGTTCTACCATCACATTGCCACATTTTTAATATTTACTACTTTGTTCAATTCTTACTGCTTCTAGGAGTCTTTTTCTTGTGACAACTCCCAAATACATGTAAAAAGAAATAATTAAAACCTCTATACTTTTCTCTTCTTGATATGTTTTATGTTAACTTAATTCTTAGACCAGGTAGAAAACCTCAAAGGGTAAAAGAGATTTTTTTTCCTCCTCTGAACGTTATTGTATAGATATATTATTTGTAAGTGACAAAAAAACTATTCAAAACAACACCTTACATATTTGGAACAGACTCAAAAAGCTTATTTTAAAAATATATGTTTTTTATTCTAAACTTTATTATTCTAAACTTACCAGAAAGACAATTGTTGCTGACATCTAGTTTTTCCAAAGAAATAAAATGAAAAAGTGGTATGATTTTTGTCAAACTGAAAACAAAAACACAAAATTCAAAAAATTTTTAATGAAATGTCCTTAATATTATTGATATAACTATATAATAATACATTTATGTAAGATAATTATATAAGACAATATACAATTGCATTTGTATAATATAATTAAAATATTAGCTAACAGTAGTTATTAAAATGCAGTAACTATAAAAATCTAAGTATTCTATTGTGGTATATATCTATCATTTTTCTAAAGAGAAATTATCATAGAATTGTGCATTGCAGTCCTATATGTCACATTTGTGACTAACATATTCATGTATAATCAATACATTAACAATGTATAACATATATGTATAATGCAGTAACACATTACATAATGTATGATGCATTAATGTACACTTGATATATAATATTACCTTGGTATATAACTATAAAATTTTTTGGCCTTAATTGTATATATTTGTCTTTGTATAAGACCACATTTACAGAGAATTTATATTGACTCCATATATTTTTTCCTGACTCAAACACATAACCTAAACCTTTTAGAGGTAAACAGTAAAAATAATTGTTTTGACTTTTCAACAGGATAACTTATTAGAACTGTTTTTTTAAATTAAAATATATTTTGGTTGCCAGATTGAAAATGATGAAACTACTGTTAAGTATTCAAAGTTATACTGAGGTTATATATACAGAGGAAATATGCCCAGTATATACACAGTGAATCCAAGGAAGAAAATAATAGTAAATACATTGATAGAATGGACTTAAATTTGACAGAAATATATTAATATTTAAAATTAGTAAGGTAGTATGCATGCATATTCAATTCTAATAATAATGAACTTTCATTCTACTTTTAAGTGTATCATTGTTAGAATTATCATTAGGAATCCATATTCAAACAAGGAGCATAAATGTTAAATCAAATATTCACACAATTGAAATAAAAATATGTAGGGAAAATTAACTGGTTTGATTTGCATTTCTAACTAAGTCAACACTTACTCTATAACATAACATATTACTCTAGTTATTTAAGAATTAAAATTAAGCCAGTTAAGCCGTTAATTTAATAAACAAAATTTAAATATTTAAACAAAACAAAAATGTCTTTGCATATAACATATTCTCAGCAGAAGTCCAAAATTATTCTAAATGAATGCTCCCTATAAATTTTGCAACTCCATAACTCCTCAAAATATGCTTCAACTAATGCAATATTTCTGGTACAAAAAAAGTACACACTGATTTCTACTTCTTTTGCTTTCTTACTGTTTCTTCATTTGTCCTGGCAGAGATTTTTCACATCTTTATTTCCACCAAGTCCATGCCATGGAAAAAAAAATACTATTATTACAAGGTCAGGAGATTACAAAATAACACTGTGACTGGAAGTCTCATGGGTTCTGGCAGAAAACTAACCCTTGTACTAACCTTGACTCCTCTCTTGTACTAACCTGGTCTGCATTAGCAGAGAGACAGAAGATACTACTGATGAAAAAATAGACTAAATAATGAGGTTGGAAAAGGATCTCCCTGAGTGTAGCTGATGCTGAATAAAATATTACATATATTACACATATAAAACACCTTCTTAAAATTAATTTCCAGAAGAGAAAAATCAAGGTAATAAAAGAAAAAAAATGATGAAATGTTGTTGGCCATTACATTTATACATATACTTTGATTATTTGTACATAAACTCCTTAATAGTAAAATTTATTGAAATGTAACATACCCTGAAAAAGAAAGGAAGAATGAAACTTAAAACTTTGCCAAAAATATTTAAATTTAAGTCATAATGTTATAATATTCCCTATTCAGATATAATCTGATCATTAATTAGTAAGAAATTTAAATCCTTTAAGTAAAAATATAATTATAATAAATGTATTTATTAACAAGAAAATCCTTGTCTTATATCTTCAGTTTTTTTCTGATACTAAATCTTTGTCACCCAGAATTTGAAAGATTAATAGATAAATTTTTCTCATTTTTCAGAATATCTTATGTTTTTAACCAATAAGTTATATGGTAATATGAAGGTTATATGACAAAATCAAGTAAAAACAACCAATAAACTTTTAGAATTAAATATAAAAATTTTGTTTGCAAAAATCAGTCCAAGTAAAGAAATATTCATCATGACCAAAGTTTTTCTTTTTAATATTGAAATTTTATCTTTTCAGATAAAAAGGCTTGTAAATTGCATTATTTTTCTTCTTTAGAAAGCTTAATAAAGAAAACTGGCTATTCATTCGCCTCTATGACTATTCATTAGGATGGTAGAAACCTAATAGTGGAATCCACTTTTTTAAACCTCTAGAACTTTTCCTTTTACTGACATTCTGTGTATATTTTTTCCAAGAAAATTCAAACCAGAAAGACAAAGGACATTAGTGAAAACCTAATACCATTTGACCTTGTCACATTAGCCCTGGGCATAAAAAAGATATAAATTTCAAAGACGACAAAAAGCAAAAAATTTGTACAATGAGCAGCCAATGGGTAATAGTTTCCACTTTCTGCTCCTACTTAGGGTCTCACTGGAAGTATAAAGGCTTATGAAGCCAGAGAGTCTTCCAGTTAGGACTCCACTGAGTCAAACTTAAAACAGTCACATGTCCTAATGAAAATTTAAAACAGAAGTCAGGATGAAACAAATATTTCAAACAATATGTAGTGAGTATCATTCTTTATATGTATTTCATTTGTTGGGAGAAAGCATATGGAATTATAATTTCTTCCTTGTGATGAAAATATTTATCAAAAATTTCAAAATGTATATGTATATAATTTAAAAGACATACCAACCACAAACTCAAATATTACATTTAGAAAATTATTCTCAGTTTTGAAAGATGTATTGACATATATTTTCCTTTCAGATCATCATAAAATCCCATAAAGTAGATAAACAGGTATTTCTACTCTTCCCTTTAACATGGGAAAAAAAAAAAAAAAAACAAAAACAAACCTCAAAAACTGAGATTCAGGAAGTCATAAGAGTTGTTCAATTTCAACTGACATAAATTAGATTAAGAATTCAAACCCAGATATGGTTCTAAATAGTCACTGCACAGGTAAAAGCTTAATATAAAGTGTCTACTTTCTATAGTTTCTATCATTAGCTTATTGTAAAAGAAATTCCAGGTTAAAAATGATTATAGGAAATCATTTTAATACTATTTCTATCAGTCACAATTTCCTAGTGGTCTCGAGTTGTTTCCCTTTTCTATCAAAAAATGGCAGGAGGTAACATGTACAAAGAACTTTGTGAGACCCTCAAATAATAAATTTAAATGTGACAGTATTATTAAAAAATTCAAAACATCATATATAATATTTTTCTTGTAAAAATAAAGTTCTATTTAAGATTAAGTTCTTCTATACCTAAGGGATTATTGAGGTTAAGGACATATCTTACTCATTTTTTCACCCCTCAAAAAAGCTAAGTCCACCTTAGTATTGAAAAGTTAGAGGGCTACTGAAAAAAAAAATTATAAAAAGGATTATTTAGACTGAGTATCCTATATTGTTATAAATGTTATAATTTTTTTAATGGTCTACTCACTTATTTCCTAGTCATATCAATATATAAGGAACAAGTCATATTACATTGCTAGGGGAAAAATTTATCAGCTAGCATTAATTTTAATTTTCAAAAGTAGAATATTTCCTTGATGATTAAAATTATCCAAAGAAATTAAAGGCATTATTTTTTGAAGTTTTTTTGATTTAAATATTTTCCAATCTCTTTAAACATTATCTGATCTACTTCTATAAAATACACTAGATATAATAGTTACTAAGTGATTGATTTATTGCACATATCCAAAACACAGCTGACTATTCTGGTCGAAGTTGTACTACTTACCTGGAAAATATTATGAAAAGATCCAGTGCATTTATGAATGGCCCAAATTACTTATTGTTATCTGATAGAGCTGACTCTGAAATAAATTTCCTTCTCAAGACAAATCAACTTTTTCAATGCAGATTTAGTTTTGATATGTCAAATAGTGGAAAGGTTTAATAGATGGAAGTTAAATTATTTAGGACATATACATATTCAAAGGATGAGCATTTGTGGCAGAGGTTGAGACAAAATTTTGTTTTTGGGGGGAAATAGGTATATATGTATCAATGCATATGTGTGTATATGTGGGGTGTGTGTGTGCATCCGTGTGTATGTGTATAAATTGGGTTGTCCTTGTTCACTATTTTCCAAAAGCTGTATGACTCAAAGAAGGTGGTTCCTTTCCCTATTTCATGTGCCTTTGATGAACAAATTAATCATATTAGAGTGAATAGGACTCAATGAAATATTAAGCAGAGGAAGACATACACATATTGTGCTCCTGTTTTAGTTTTAGACAGTTTTTCTCTGCAAAGATCCAGATGTCTGGTGGTTTCAAATGGATCTTCTGTGGCAGGTACCCATTTCAATTTAATGTTAAGGTATTTTTTTTAAGTGTTACTTTATATCCTTAGGGAAATCGAATTTAAATCAATCTTAACAGTTACAAAAAGACATGCAAGTTGAGAGCAGATTAAAAATAGTTCTTCCAGGACTTAATAAGTACCATTTGAGAGAATGAGACATCCTTCTGAATTAAATTAACTACCTCCCCTATTTTCCAAGGACTATATTCTTTACAAATATAAACAAACCTGCCCTGAGAGATTTCTACATGTTTGAGATGAAACAAAATGAGTAGTATAAGTTGGCAATTAAAATGCTATTTGATTTGCAAGTGTGTTGATACACTATATTTTAAAATTCTACAAAGCTATAATTAATATATATAATTTATTGTATATTAATGTAAACACTAATATATTTTAGCTGCATGAATGGAAAAACCTAACAACTTTTCTACTTGTTTATGAAGATCACACATTAACTTTAAGTAATCATTCACTTCAATTAGTGCTTACGAAAAAAATGTCTTTACCTGTTTTGAGAGATAGTGAGCTTTTGTAGCAAAGGCAGCCAATATGAAGAAAATGCTTCCACAGTTGAAATGCTGTTATCATCCAAATGTAATTCTCTTAATAGAACATGATTCTTCAAGGATGGAAGCTACATTCAAATTTGAGTCATTTAGCTCATTGTAAGCAAAATACTTTTACTGTTTAAGCAAATATAAAACTCACCAAAACTTAAAATATATATATAATGTTAAACTGCATATCCTAAATCAAAGCATAATGTTATGAAAAATTTAGTATGAATAAAATTTCTAATAATTAACTTTATAGTAAGAATTTATAAATTAAAGTTATTTCATGAAAATGTAGTTAGAATTTCATGATAGATAAATTTGGGCACATATACTAAAATGTAACTGAAAAATATTTAACTCTGTTGAAGATTTTTTAAATAGAGAAAAGCATGCAATTGTTTAAATTATACAGGAAATAGAACACAGCTGGTATGCAAAAAGAAAAAGGTAAAATTAATCAAAATTGGCTTTTAAATTGTGCAGTTGATATTAAAAAGTTGTATTAATGATAGATATTAATTAATTCAAAACAATTACTTCACTTAGGTAATTTCCCTGTAACTTCAATATTTGGAGCAATCCACAGTTTTCAATGCCTTCTACTTCAGTAAGATGATTATGTGAGCAATCCAGGTATATAATGGTAGGAGTATCACAAAGACCTTTAGTACTAATTAACTGATTGTGGTCCACAATTAGTTGCTGAAGATTTCTCAAAGATTCTAAACCACCTGGAAGAAAAATTGTCCATGATCATTTGTATCACAATTTCTTACAGATTATAAAGGAGAGTTTCAGCTTTTTTCTAAATAGCTGTACCTTGCTGTTTCCCAATATTTCTAATTATAAGCAAAGACTTAGTCCAAATTTACTGGTGAAAATTATCTTTTATGATGTATTATTTAAAATTGCAACAGAGATATTTTTGAATGGCGTAATACATATTGATTGAAAATTGAACAAAATACTAAAAGTTTTACATTGGGGAGTGAATATATTATTTTCCAATACCAATGAAACAAGGAAGAGACAGAAGGATTTGTTTAAAAACAGTCTCAAATCAGTTTTAAGGCTTTTGCACTTTTAATCCTTGCTTAAGTTGTAACATGTAGCATTAGAATGCCATTCTAATGCTAGAATGCCATTCTAATGCCATTCTAATGGACATCTATTGAGATGTCCATCTTAAAATCCCAAATGAAGCATGTGATATTATAAACAAAAGTACTAGTATGTTCTTTGGGTATTTCAAGATTGTCTCAAGTGACCTCCTCTTTGTTCAGAGAAACTTAAAATCAATTATGATATTACCTCAAAAATATCAGAGGAGACTTAGACTATAGGTTATAAGAGAAAGACTGAGAGGTGTTTCAGCAAGCTCACAGGAGTTACGTATCTGTATTTGCATCGCAAGGGAAAAGTATAGACTGAATCATAAGTGAGTGATAACAGCAGTTGTCCGGCAAAATAAGAGCAGTAAACAGAGAGAGAGAAATTCACTGCTTAATCCTCACCGCCACCACCACCACCAAAATATGGTTGAATTAAAGAAAAATTTGGAAAAACCTGTTTGTCATTCATTATAAGGCTTTGATATATTGCCAAAGTGGTAGAACACTATATACAGACAGATAGGTCTATCTCTCAGATTTTAAAATAAAGATTTAAAGGGAACTTATTAAAACATTTAAAATGAGACTTCAAGAAGAAGTAGGATGTGCTTTAAACAAGCAAATATTAACCTAAAAATTGACCTAATGAGAAAAAGAAAACAAAATCATCTAAAAATATATGGAGCTGAGGTCCACTAACAATCACATGAGCAATCTTGGATGTATCCATAGATCTTTCAGTTGCATTGGGTCTTGAGATGACAGCAAGCCATCCTGGGAGATGACAGTCATCCTTATGAGAAACCCTGAGGTAGAAACACCTAGCGAAGCCATTCTCAGATTCCTAATTTGGAGAAAATGTGGCAAAATAAATCACTGTAGCTTTTAATTACTAAGTTTTGTGTACCTTGTTTCACAACAATACAAAAGGAGTCCATTCTGAAATAAACATGAGAAAGGAGAAAAAAATTTGAAAAAGCTTTGGACTATTCAAGAACATTTAGAGAAATTTAATATAATAAGAGTTCAAAGGTATTTAAACAACAGACGTTAGTAAATAAAAATACCATGAGAGATTTAATAACAAATTTAGAAACAACATTGTACAAAACAGAGAATTAAAGATCAAGTTGCCCACCAAAGAAAGAGAATCAAACAGAATAAAATGCAAAGAAGCGAAGGGTAAGAAACTAATTAATAATAGATGTGAAAGAGTGACAATGTTGGCCAAAAACAGATCACCTATGACCAAAAAAATAGTCAAACCAAAACAGTACTCAAAATATATAAGAAGCAAAATATTACAGAAATGAGAGAATAATTCAATATGCTGTTTGAAGACAACAATACATTCTAAGAAAAACTTATATTGACTTATTGTTAGTAAGCTGTTTCTCAGTTAATTCACTGATGGAGGACAAAGAACATGTTATTCAGGTATCTAGGCATAAATGAGTTATGAGGATGGGAAAGTCAAGTTGGACTAGGTTTGCCACAGCAATACACAATATTATATATGTAATGGAACAATACCTACAAAGAAGCAAGTGAAAGCATACTCCAAAAGTAGAATTCACAGCTATATTCTTACTTAAATATGAAGGCAACTGACAGATATTGCCAAAAATGCAAGAATCTAGGGACCACAGCATCTTTGAGCCCTGTGAAAAGATTTAAAAGTGCAAACAAATTGCATAACCTAGACAAGCAAAAGATAAAAGAAACAGTTGTCATAAAAAGAACTGGTACTGACCCATTTTCCTACTGGTATAATGTTGCCAAGGGACATAAGGAGGGAGTCAAAAATCCCAATATGATGTCAAATTCTGTGAACACTAAAAATTGTGAGAGGGAGTAACTGTAAAAAGCACAAACATTCTCATTCTCTTAGAGTTAATATTGTCAAAAATAGATTGACTGAAAGCACATCTCAATAAATTGCTGAACAAAAAAGTAGGCAAGGGAAGGTGGAAGTTTAAATGAGATCATTTTATCAGTGTTAGTATGAGGAAACTGACAAATAATGTTTCCAACAAGTAATTCACATGTAGGTGATTTTTGTGCATTAATAGATTCTTTATAATAATACTCTAGCATATTTTAACAATTATTTAATTTATAAATCATTGTAATTTTAAAACTTCCAAATTGATGTTCTAATTCAGTAGTGGTAAATTTGCTGGCTACATCACCTCAAAAGTAGCATTGAATTTTGCACGGTTTCATTTATATGGAGAATATAAAGAAAAAAAGAAAAGATTATTCAAAACCAAACTAAAAACAAACACTAGAAATCTGACTGTGAAAATGAGGCTACCCAAAGGGGAAGGAGAGAATAGAAAAAAAAGGAAGGCGCGGGCTCAATGGACCATGGTGCCCTGGTGGTGGGTGTGGTATGAAAGCATACTCCTGAAGAGGTGGGATTGTATATTTCTGACTCATATACAGTGTTGTAAACTTACAATGTTACCTTAATCACAATATCAAATATTATAAAAAAGTACTTAATCATGAGGAAATGCTACTAATGTTAATTTTTGAATGTAAAGTGGTATACAATATAATCTAAATATACTGTTAACTCTTTAATACTGGAATATGAAATATATGCCTAGAGTACATCTGTTTATGGATATACTAATAATTATAGATATAATTATTTTCTAATGTTTAATTAAACATTTCTTAATTACCTAAATTTCCTTCTATTAATCTTTACCCTACCCTAAATGTATAATAGAAAAATAGACTTCATTAGCTGAATCATTACAATGTTCAATTCAAGTGATTTCTTTGGTCTCCTTTTTTTCACATAACACGCGTACTTCATATAGATGGATGTTTTGTTTAACATTCTATATTTGTTACTCCTCAGATAGTTTGAACTTTTGTTCAGGTATTTGCCATGTTACAATTTTATTTTTTAATGGAGTTAGTGTCAAGTTTTTTCCTGAATTTTTGAAATGATAGGCATAGAGAATCTACTATAAAGTATATTCCTCACAACTCGACTATAAATACAAAAAAAATTTCTAAATATAATTTTACTGCTGATTAAAACTCATCAGCAACCAGGTTTGCTAATCCTAACACTGTGTTGTGTTCACACAGAAATAGAGAAATGATACAGACAGAATCTCTGCTCAATTACATCTAACTTGAAAAATTCAACTGGAAAAACTTTATTATGACATGTAGAAATATTCACAATCTGTCATGAAGGGAATAAAGTAAATTGCAAAACAATATTATAGTAGTGATTTTTTTAAGTGAATATAAAACAATTTGGAAAGTTCATCAGCACTTACTATATCTGGAAGATGGAATTATAGGTGCTTATTTTATCATTTTACATTGTAATTTTAGATAATAGGCATATGTTAATTACATCGAATTTTCTTTAAAAAAAAGTACAAAATCACTTTTGCAGAAATTTCTGGTCAAATAGTTGATACATCTTTACCTCTCACAATAAAAAGTCATTACCTTTTTATTTACTTTTATCAAATTTTATTATTTGTCATTTGCTTACAAGTTTTTAATGTTTTCAAATGAGTTAAGAAAGTATTGTCTAAATTTTAAAATATTATGGTAGACAAAGAGAAGTAACAATTATTATTGTTAAGCCAGTTTTCACTGTGAGAAAATGGGTTAACTCTAAAGATCAATTTCTATAATCATGCTTGAGAATACAAAACTTAAAATTCACCCAAAGCAGCCAACTATAATAGACAATTCCACATAAATCTGGAATCCTGATCAGATATACCTAGTCAAAGGCCAGAAACTTAACTGCCTGTCTCAAATTTCAGTATTAAATAAAAGAGGAAAATCTCCATTTTAAAATAATAAACACAAGCTAACTCTTCCATCGTAGCTCAGATTCTCTCTAATGGTGATCAGAAAACGTCCACCAAAAATGTAGCAGATATGATACTAGATGTCCCCTAGCCCTTGAAAAATCTACTCTAAAGAAGAACCTTTTATCCCAAATATAATATAATAATAAAACCTAAGTTCTAAGGGAAATAAACAGCTGGACAAAGAAAAATCACATGACAATGATAAGAGCAGAAATGAAGCAAAATCAGAATGTGGAAATTTGAATTAATGAAATTAAAAATTAAATGATAAAGACTAATAGGAAGTTAAAACATGTTAACTGGAATATAAATATATAGAAATTATCCAGAGACAAAAAAAAAATGTAGGAAATATGGAGGCTATATAAAGTATCAGTGGAGAGAACAAAATGAGGAAGAAAAATCATTTGAAGAAATAGTGACTGATAGCCAGGTAAATTTTTTTAAAAACTAAGCCACATAATAAATAATATATAAAGCACAAAAGGATGAGTTAAAAAGAAACCCATGCCTAGAATAAAAGTATATAGTAGTAATATCAAAGAAAAGATACTTGAAAAAGATGTACAAAATACCCTGAAAAGTACAGAAATTTAACTGACAGCTGACATTTTAACAGCAACAGTGAAAGTAAAAAAGTAATGGAATGACACCTGTAAATTACTAAAATAAACTTCAAGTTAGAAAAATACTCAGTTAAATTATAACTCAAATATGAATGTTACAGTCAAACACAATCTAGTTATCTTACTTGAA